TTGTGCTAGGCAGTACACAGGGTAAAGTCCCTGTCCCAACGAGCTTATCATCGGAGCAGGCAAGTCAGCCAAAGGATAAGGTAAAGGCAGACAGCCTCATCCAAAGTCCATTGCAGTTAACAGGGACTTTCCAGGCCCTGAGTGTAATGGTTTGTAAACATATTAGTGCCAAGATTATTTTTAGAGGGGGAGCAAGTGCCTGTTCAGTATCAGTACCACAAGTAATTTCCTTCATTTTGTATTCCAAGGTTGTCCATGATATTCTCTTCCCCAGCCCAATATATTAATTTACAATTTTCTCCATTTTTGTACTGCTCTATTTTTTTCTTTCTAGGTTTTTTAATATCCTTAGATCACATTATATTGTTTCTATATTTCTTCTAGTTTTTCTAGAAAGTCCCATTTTCATATCACCAGCAAATTATGTTTACATTTTTACTTCCTTTTCTAGAGATTAACCAAGGGTATGTCTACACTGCATTCCTCTTTCGAGAGAGAAATACAAATGCAGTCAAGCAAAATTGCAAATGAATTGCGGATTTGAATTTCCCACTCTTCATTTGCATAATGGCGTCCGGGCACTTTTTCAAAATACCCCCCCCGCTGTTTAGAGGTAGGTATTTTGAAAAAACCCCACCTTCTTTTGAAATAACCCTTACTCCTTAATAAACGAGGTTTAAGGGTTATTTCAAAAGAAGGGTGTTTTTAAAAATAACCACGTCTAGACTGCAGGATTTTTTTCTAAATAGGGTATTTCGAAAAAGCGCCCGGACGCCATTATGCAAATGAAGTGCAGGAAATTCAAATCCGCACTTCATTTGCAATTTTGTTCGGCTGCTTTTGCATTTCTCTCTCAAAAGAGGAATGCAGTGTAGACATACTCCAAGAGATCGAGCTGGACTCAGCACAGTAAAATATGAGACACCTTTTCCTGACCCAATACATCTTATTTTGTTTTTAGCCCTTCGGTCATTTCACAGCAAGATAGAAATACTCTCTCTTTCTCTCTCTTAACCTTCCAAAAGTCTAGGTTCAGAAGTCTTGGATAGGCTCACACTGGAGGCTTGAAACTCAAGAGTCAGAATGAGACATCCAGCACAGAATAATAAGGTGTCATTTTCCCTTTTTCCTACTGCTGCATACCCCACTTGTTACTCTTTTACCACTGAAAACTTTCTGGGACAATGACTGTCTTTATTTTTATGGACTTTTTAGTGTTCAGTCCAATATCAGTGCTAAACAAATAGTAAAACACTAGAAGACTTACCTGGGGTTGCCCAGGTCTTTCAGGGTAGAGGGCTGAGGGTTTGGCAGGTGCAGAAGTCAGGGCAGGGGCTTGGGGACTTTGGGGATGACAACAGGCTCAGGGCAGGGGTGTGCAGGAGTTGGAGCAGGGGGTGGAGGTCTCAGGGAAAGGAGTGGGGGTGCAGGAGTCAGGGCAGGGGGTTTGGAGGTCCAGGGGGGCTCTGGCAGGGAATGGTGGCAGCCAGGAGCTGCTCACTGGGGCCAGCCCATGGTGGCTGGGGCCACAAAGCTTGTGTACCAGTTGCTCCCCTGAGCCAGTCTGGGACTGTGGGGGCCACACTGAGTGGCCAGCATTTGCTCTCCCGGGACAATGGAGGCTGAGCTGGCCAGCCAGCAGCTGCTCACCCGGGTCGGGGGCAGTTACTGCCCCCTGTGGTAACTCTGGGGTATAACTGTCATCTGTGTTTGCTGCTCCCTGGGGTCACTCTCTGTGGTATAATTGTCCGTTATCACACCCCTCCCTTTCTATTTGATGAGAACAATCACATTCCAGCATATCCCATTTTCCTGGCACAATCGAACCCTGACCTTGCTTTAAGCTATGATAAGAGGAAGCTGCCTACCAAATGTGGTGGTCCTTGCTCTTACCATATAGGAGGAGTTTTTGAACAAAGATTCACAGATGGATGGTCACACAGACAGATGCACAATCTCAAATATATAGTATATTATAACATCAAACATACCCTCAGGTGCTATACAAGAAGGAAGACTCAGGTCCCTGTCCCAAGGAATTACAGTACAGATATAAGTAGATGATTAACAAATTATGAAGGAAAAACGGAATATAATAAAGAGCAAGTGATTAAACTGTGAAGTTTAAAAGAGATATTATTTTTGAAAGAATCATCAACATGTAAAGCAATTGCCAACAATGAAAGCTTTTTCCATAAAGAAAATGAGTCATCTGTGGTCTTTGACAGCCACAGAGATCCTTCAGCGCCTGCAAGCATCACTCTCCTAACATTTTGTGTGGCTTCTGGTGGATTCTCCATCGCTGGCAATTTCTAAATCAAGATTGGTTGTTTCTGTGACAAGATCTACTCCAGTTCATACAGGAATGATCTGAGGGCAGTTCTCTGCCTTGTGTTCTGCAGGAAGTCTGGAGAATACAGACCTTTCTGGCCTCACTATACATTTGTGGGTAGAGAGAGGAGTTTCCAGCAGAGGCATTAGCTGTCACTGCTGGTTCCAACAGAAGATGACAAAGAGGTGTGGCATTCTTCATCTGAAAAGTTGACATCTGTGAACATTTGGTGGTTAAAACAGCTATAATGTTGGAAAGACATATGGATCAGGCTGACTGATGTAATTCCCTTATGCAGGAATGGGTGTGTAGCAATATGTGGTTTGCAGAGGAACGTAAATTATCTCTAGAATGTTGGTGTTTGTACTGTGACCTCTGGTTTTGATTATTTAATTTTTTAGATCCTAAAATGTTTAAAGTGTAATGTAATACCTGGGCCAGAGGGAACAGATGTTGCTTGTATTTGCAGTTAAAAATCATCACAATGGTAAGCTTTCACCACATGCATATTCTTTATTTAGGCACAATAAATAACACCACCAAAGACAGCAGTTTTCAAGAGGAAAATAGGATCTTGGCTCTGAAATTAGAATTTTTAAAAATAAATATGCTGAATGATCTCCCAGTCCATCCCTTACAGTAAAAATGCTACTTTTAACTTAAAATAGCATCCAAAATTGTTGTTTTGCAAGTTATCTGAGGAGGATTTAAAAAATAGTTTTCGCTTGCAACATTCAAAATCATTGTCTTCTGTGGAACACAAATAAACCACCTTCCCTCTACATTACCCTGAATAAGAGGTTGATTTAAATAGAAATTGCAGTCCAATCACTATTTTAGCCCATTTTTGTGGTCACTTGACCAAACCACTTTTTATTTGCATCATAGATTTGGAAGTGTTTTTGAAGATTCTTCCCCAAATTGTTAATCTCAGGAATCTGTTGCTTAAGTGGAAGAATACAGCGCTGCAAAAACTGTTGTAGATAACCACAAGGGTAAAAATACTGGTTCTGCTCTCTGGTTTGTATTTATCCTTTCACACATACAAACCCTTAGATCAGGGATCTCAAACAACCAGCCCATGGGCCATCCCCAGCCAGAGTGAGTGTGCAATAGGTTGTGTTGCACTGCAGCTCCTGCAATCATTGGCCACGTGCACCAGGCCCCCATGATCCCTGAAGCTGCATTCTTGAGGACGGGGAGAGGGGGAATGAGACACAGCAATGGCGGAAAGGGGTCAGGCTTGGGGGCCAGTAACAGACACAGCTTCCCTTCTTTGAGAGGCCCAGACCAAACTGCATAATCACTCTAGCTGGGGAAGGCCTGCAGGCCAGGAGTTTGAGACCCCTAACAGACCAAATCTTTAAATGGAACCATACAAGAAAAGTTAGGCAGTACAGAACACCGACGAAGAACTTATAGTGGACAACTTTTAAAGAGCTACGGTCATATACTATCTTCTAATTGCAAAGGGAGTGTAACTCGCTGCCTGTACTCATTTTATGGTGGTCCAGAAAAGAGGAAATCACAAAGCTAGCTGCTGCAACATCATATTTAAAAAGGAAAAACCCCAACACCAAGTGTTAAATTGTTTGTCTTTGGCTCTCTCTCACACATAAAAATGCTTTTAGCTTCTAAAAGAGCTATATATTTTTTTAAAAATCCCATAATGTTAATGCAGAATTCCCTTTTTTTTTTGGCAACCCATTTTGTCCAACTCATCCTTGAGGATTCTGTCTCGCTTTTTTTCCCCACTCATGCAGAAAACACGTAGGCATCACACTGCATCACCTTGCAGCCAGTACCACCAACCCTCAACCAAGCTGAATGATCACAGTTAAATGGTAGACCCAAACGATTTGTAATTTGCTTACTTCCCAAGTACATCTGAAGACTAGCAAACATCCTATCTTTTGAATAGGTTACTGGGCTGTCTCCTACAAAGAGGATGCACTGATGAGGAAGGAAGTGATAGACTGGGATTCTAGAAATGTGGGTCCATCACAAACTCCTTTCTTTGGGCAAGTCATTCCCCTTCCCCCCCCCCGCCCCCCGGGTCTCAGAGATCCATCTGCATAACGGGGGTCCCTACACTGCAGTATCATTGTAAGATACAAAGCTGCCCTAAAATGGATAAGAACAGAAAGTATAATGGTTGGGAGTGGAAAGAAGGATATCTCCTTTTATTCTGTAGGAGGAGGCAGAGTTCACACCAGTAGGGCATAAACACAGGCACTAAACTATTATAATCTCCCCATATACCTCACCAGAATGAGGATATCTGTGATTTAGGGTGACATTTTCAAAGCTGCTTGTGTGATACGGATGCCCAGTTCTCACTTACGTTAATGGGGAATGAGTGTTCATATCCCCATATCCCCTTTGAAAATATCATCATAAGGAATCATACACACTTTTATATGAAATGCTCTGTGCACATTTTTTCATATATGATGCCTTCCCTTGTTCACACAAAGAAATTAAACACTAACTATTGCTTTTCTATAAACAGGAGACAAACCTTTCTGGATTCCTGAAGTAATCTTTGCATCCCTAAAAGCCATATAATTCACCAGCCCACCTTCCCATGTCCAAATCAGAACAACCTCCTAAGAAGTGGACTACAAACAGATTTCCTCCTCCTTATAATAAAAAAAGAGGTCAAAGGCAGTGTGGAAAGGAATTTTATTTTCAAGCTTCTAAAAGATTATTACAAACACTGGAGAGTAAACAAAATGAAAAACTATTAAAAATAAGCAGTGTCCTTGTAAAAGTGCTCTATAAAAAACTGAAGGCACACAAACAACATTATACACTCCTCACTTCTAGAGGCCTAATGAATTGGATATTTCAAGCCTCGATAATTCTGTGTGAGAACTCATTTTGCATTCATGTGTTCTTAGTGATCCGTGAATATTGTTAATCATATTTTAAACATCTGTTAAGAAAATTCCAATAAAGCAATATCCTGAGAAGGACAAATAAGAAAGACAGTGAACACTGGACATTCTGTATTGAATGTGCCATAAGAATCAAGTCAGTGTTACACACTGCATCAGGCAATTTCTATAAAAGACATCAAATACTGATTTAAAGGCAGCTGAAAAGCAGTCTGAGTTAGCTCACAACAAGTCTTAAAAACTATAAAAATAAAAACAAAACACCAAACCTTTCCATTTGGCAACACTGTACTCTTACTAAAAACCAAGCTCTTGTGCATTTTAACATGTACTTTGTGAGTGTCTGTTTAGAAAATGTAAATACCAAGTGTGGGTGGGAAGAAGAAGGAATTTAAGTGTGTAGAAAAATCCTTCATCCATGCACCATTGTTACTAAGGAAAAATTTATTTGGTAAAATTAAAATACTTTTCTTTTCTAAAATGTAAACACCTCATATTTAAATAAACTTGTGTAATAACTATGGAAATAGTGTTAATTCAGTGATTAAGAGTGCTTTCTCATATAAAATACTTTACAAATATTAGCAAAAGATCTAGTGAACTACTGATACATTAGAACAAATTGATAAGCATCTAGGCAATTGTTTTGGCCACAGGAAAAGTAGGGCACAGAGATAGTGTTTTCTTGAGAAGGAAAGGCAGCTGTTATTCATTTCATGCTTGAAGAGAACTCTCCACAGACCTTCCCTACAAAAGGAAAAAGAGTTTTATTAAAAACGGTCTTTGCCTTTTTTCTTTAATAAATTCTTCTCACAAGCTGTAACACAGAAACCTTTTCACTGTGGGTTAGGTTAAATGTGCTATTGATGGGTGTTAGCTTCCTGGAATACTGTCCCCATTATTTTATACTTATAGACCAGTAACAAAAGTGCTATGAAATATTGGTCTATTAGTCAAAGAAGAAAAACACAAAATCCAGAACCCATTTATGTACTTCTTGAATTCTTGTAATAAATCATCTCTTTGACTTTTATTCCTCAAACACAAGAAAAATCCTGCAACTTTTCAGACCAAGGAAGCCTTATGATCCTTTATTTCTTAACTCAGACAGAGTCAAATCCAGGAAACACATATACTCAAGTAGAATAGAAGCACCATAAAAGGAAGAACATGAAAGAGTCACTGTCATCTCAAATATCTAATTTGCCAGACCATTTTGTCTATTACAGTTAAAGACAGCCCCTAAGATTACGTAACAAAGAAAAAATATATTTTGTAAAATATAAAATATATCTGATTGTGCATTTGGCAGGATTTTGAGCAAAAAGTGATGTTTTCTCCCAGTCAGCCTCCCTCTTCCGCACAGCTCCACAGAGGTGCATTGACTGAATGGTGACAGTCACAGGTAGGAATGTAATAGTATAGTTGATTAACCGATAAGCAGGTTCATAGCAGGCCAACAGCCCAGCTCAGTTCTGGCTCGCACCGGGTCCAGAATCTACTCCTGCTGTGGCTCTGTATTTAAAGTGTATTAGGAGCCTGGCAGGCAGGCGTTCTGGCTCGTGCTGGCTTAGATAGGGGCTGCAGCCACCCCACATTGCTGACTATCAGAGGCAGCAGCATTGGGCAACAGGTAGCCAGTCCACAAGGGGAAGTGTTTTTTAATGCAGGGCAACAGGTAGCCAGTCCACAAGGGGAAGTGTTTTTTAAACCAGCCTGACACCCTGCACTGCTGCCTCTGATAGAGCAGCTGCTGGCCCCACTCCTGGGGACTATAGAGGAGTCAACTAACCAATAAGAATTCACAAGGTTACTCGACTATTCAATTAATGGATATTTAACATCCCTAGTTACAGGTTGAGTCTTGCTCAGTCTCATACTGAAAGGCCACCTCCGGTTCACCAAACTGTAAAATGGGACCTGATCCACAGGGTTAGAGTAACCAAATGTGGTCAGACATGGTTCTGACTATACCACTCCCTGGTGTATCACTGGCTATGAACCTGATGTGCCTTATCCACATCAGCCTGATGAATCAGTGGCTCCAGGAACTGACACACAACTCCAACAGAGGAAAAAAACCCCACATTTTAAAAAAGTTGGAATATGTGATTTTTAAACCCATAAAATTTAGCAGGGGGACAAACGAACCATGTATATTGAAGAGATTTCAAGTTGACAGTGTCCTCTAACAAAGAGCAAGTTAATGGGCCTGTCATCATTCCTCCTTGTTGTGGTAATATAGTCACCCTTCCTAACAGGAGTTATTACTTTATTTGTCACTTTTAAAAAATTATGAGGATGGCTGCTCCGCCATTAAACATAATGACTGTGCTATGTAAGATTTGTAGGCAAGAGACAGGGGCTTGATTCTGCAAAGACTTACTCACATCCTTGAAGTACCAGAGCTGTCCCTATGGTCAGGAATAAACACACAGGTGAGAACGCCTTTGCAGGATTGGACCCGAATGATTTTTCTATGCTCGATTTTTTTTTAACATTCCCCGCTGGTACTACTAGCAGTGCTGGCGATGCAGGGAGCATTAGGATAGACAGTATTCAAGTTCCTGCAAATGAGTGAACCACATTTTAAACCTGCTCTGAGCAAGTCTAACCAATGACAGTGGTTGCCAGTCTACACCAGACCCTCCGTTGCGGGCATTTCTCATGGAGCTGCGCCAGCTGTAACAATGGTGGGGAAAAGCCTAGTTGTATACACAACTGCAATACACTATGGCTGTGTCTACACTGGGCCACTTATTCTGGAAAAGCAGCCGCTTTTCCGGAATAACTTGAAAGCTGTCTACCCTGGCCGCTTGCTTTTCTGGAAAAGCAATGGCGGTCTACTGTAAAATTGTCAGTGCTTTTCCGGAAAAACTATGCTGCTCCCGTTCGGGCAAAAGTCCTTTTCCGGAAAAACTATTCCGGAAAAGGGCCAGTGTAGACAGCACAGTAGTCTTTTCCGCAAAAAAGCCCCAATCGCGAAAATGACGATCGGGGCTTTTTTCCGGAAAAGCACGTCTACATTGGCCACGGATGCTTTTCCGGAAAAAGGGCTTTTCTGGAAAAAGGGCTTTTCCGGAAAAGCATTCTGCCAATGTAGATGCTCTTTTTCCAGAAATACTTATAACGGAAAACTGTTCCGTTTTAAGCATTTCCGGAAAAGGGTGCCAATGTAGACACAGCCTACGCGAGTTGAAAAGTGTTGTAATAAGTAGAGAATTACTTAAATCAAACTTTGTGCAGCCTTTTTTGGGGACTTTGGCAGTTAACTAAACTAATCACTACCAGGTTAATCAAGAGCTGAAGAGAACTAAAAGGTGTTGGGGTATCAGGAAAAACTGTATGTTTGAAGTAAGCTGTAAGAAATGGCACTAAACATTTTAAATACCATGCTTAAGTTAATTAGAAACTGGATAATCTATTACTGGTCAACAGAATCAAACATGTATGCACAGTCAATCCTTCTCTACATTTCCTTCCTTTCCCCAAATAACTAATCTTCTAAAAGGGAACCTGATCAATTCATCACAAATGCAACATCTGCTGGAAGAAAACACCCCGTGAAATTATTTCTTAGACAATATTCATTCCTAAACCATTGTGAATGTAATGTGAAAGCCATACGGGGTTGTAAACATAAGGAGATGACTCAACTGTGGGAGAACAGAAGGCTTCTAGGAACTGGGGACCTCAGTGGCCATGTTGGGTAATTCTCCATTCTCCCCTGAAGGGACAATTTCCTACCCTCATGTGGAAGTAGCTGTCTTTTCACTGGTAACTGCCGAAGGAGGAATGGGAATTGTGAGAATCGCTGAGCAAAACCAATCTGCAATTAGAATGGGAAAAGATAAAAGCTAACTTGGAAGCGTGCCATCAACGCCTGCTGCCTTTGATCTCTACTCCCTTCCTAGACTCTAAAATGAAGAAGGGTCTTATCTGAAGTGCAGTGTATCAAACCGATTACACTCCCAACATCCTACTGTTGCTGAACACTCATTTCAAAAATAGCTACAGACGTTGTATCTGCCAACATGCTAAAGAAAAAAGGAGGGATGTCCGGAGAGAGAAATATGTTTTAACTCCAGTGCCCTGAGGGACTAGGACGTCTATTTTGGAAGGCCAGAGTAGACAAAAGGAAGCACTTTGCTACAGGAGAGGTATTGTTAGTGTGTATGTGAGAGACAGGAAGAGAACCCAATGGAAACATGTCATTTCAAGGGATTGACATTTACAGCTTATCGCACATATGACTTCTTTTGCTACCATACCTGACTTCAGAGTAAAGCACAGGATCTAGG